CAGCGGGTTGCAATACTGTCTCTGATAAACAGACTTTAAACCATCAAAAGATCAAAAGAGACAAAAAAAAAAAAAAAAAATGAGCCATTACCATACATGGTAAAGGGATCTCACTTCATCAGGAAGAGCTAACTTCCTAAATATATATGCACCAATACATGAGCACCAGTTTCATATGGCAAGTCCTAGAGATCCTACAGAAGAGACTTAGACACTCAGGCAATAATAATGGGAGATTTAACACCCCACTTATGAACTTAGATGGATCAATTAAAGAGAAAGTCAACAAGGATTACAGGAATGAAACTCAATTCTGTACCAAACGGGACGTCTAATAGACATCTACAGAACTCTGCCACCCCAGGAATCAAGAGAATGTACAGTTTCTTTCTCAAGCACAACATTTGCGCACTTATTCCAAAATTGACCACATAGTTGGAAGTAAACGCATTCCTCAGCAAATGTTAAAAGAACAGCAGAAAATTATAACAACTGTGCCTCGTCAGACCACATTGCAATCAAACTAGGGATGTTCAGGCACTAAGGAAAGCTCAATCAAAACCACTCAACTTACACATTAAACTGAACAACCTGCTCGGCCTGAATGGACTACTGACTACTGGGGTACATTAAAGAAAATGAAGGGCGCCAGAAATAAAGATTGTTCTTTGAAACCAATGAGAACAAAATATACAACATAGCAGAAGGCTGGGGTAACTATTTAAAGCATGTGTGTAGAGGGAAAATTGCTAGAGCTCACTAAAATGCCCAAAGAGGGACAAGCTGGGGAAAGACTAAAATGGATCACCCTTAACATCACAATTAAAATGAACTATGAGTAAGCAAGAGCAAACACATTTCAAAAGCTAGCAGAAGGGCAAGAAATAACTGGGTGGATCGAGAGCAGAAAACTGATGGATATATGATGACCAAAAAACCCTCCAAGAAATCAATGAATCTCAGGAGTTGGTTTTTTTTTTGAAAACATCAAACAAAATTGATAGACGGCTGAGCAAGATCTTAGATAATATGAAGAAAGAGAGAAGAATGCAGAATAGATTGCAATAGAAAATGAAAGAGAAGATATCAACAACCCACCCCACGAAGAATAGAACTACTATCACAGGAAGCATGACTATAAACATCCTCTACACAAAAAACTTAGGAAACCTAAAGAAATGGATAATTTCCTGGACACTTACACTCTCCAAGACTAAAACAAAGGAAGAAGTTGAATCCTCTAATATTGAGCATATAAGCAGGCTCTGAAATTGAGCAAATTAATAGCTTACCTAACCAAAAAAAATCCTGGACCAGAAGGAATTCAGACCAAATCTCAACCAGAGTTACATACGAAGAAGTTGGTTACCATTCCTTCTGAAACTATTCCAATGTCAATAGAAGAAAAGACGCTGAGAATCCCTCTTCGCCTGTGACGGATATTCTCTCAATGGTGTTTGTGGGGAGGGGGTAGGGGGGAGGGATAGCATTAGGAGATATACCTAATGTAAATGACGAGTTAATGGGTGCAGCACACCAACATGGCACATGTGTACATATGTAACAAACCTGCAGGTTGTGCACATGTATCCTAGAACTTAAAGTATAAAAAAAAATTGATTAAATTATAGCAAGTTTTTAAAAAGTTCTTTGTTTATTACTTCTAAATTGTTCTCAAGGAAATGTATATTCATTTACAGTTCAACAAAGAGAGTACGAAACTGCCATTCTTCTCTCCTCAAGAATCAATTTCCTTTAATTATACATTTTTAATCTTAATGTGCATGGAATATAAAGAAAATATAGAGTAATGTATGATTAGTTTATTCAACATCTCTTGCTCTCCTACATAAATAAAATTAATTAAGAGTTCTATGTTAAAAATGCATATGATTTTTATTCTTTAAATATTATATTCTTTTTTGTTCTAAAAGAGATTTAAAATTTGTTGAAAAATATATAATAATCAACAAGACATGTTTAAAGTATTACTCAAAAAGGAAACAAAAGGCATATGGAATAACAGATATTACACTGTTTAACCTAGTCTGAGATTTTAGTATTAAAATTATTTTTAGTGATACTGACCATATATTATAAGTAGGAATATTTACGTCTAATAAATCTGTAAACTTTTTTTATAAAACGTAATGTCACTGTAATCAGTTAGCTCTAAATGATCTGTCCTCATTGAGGAGGAATTTTCACTGTGTGATATTTTTAAAAAATAATTTTCAACTCATAAATGTACCAAATAGCTTCCAATATTCTTTTCCATAACAGTCGTCAAAGCTACTAAAAACAGAAACTTTCTAACTAGAACATGTTTTTTCTCACGATTTTTCAAGTGTGTATGTCGTTTGGAAGAGGTTGGAGTAATAAATACCTGAGAACTAGAAAGAAAAAAATTCAGGAATATAGAAATTTTATTGGAATAATAAACCAGTATAGGAAGAAGTAGATCTCAAAGTGAATCCTATTTTCTAACAAAATGAATGTTAAGATAAATATGTTTAATGGCAGATTGACTTTAAATTAAGAAGAAGAGAAGAGAAGAAATGTCGATATATTAAATAAAAAAATTAGGAAAGAATAAAGAAGACTCAAAGAGCATCATAGGAAAGAGTTAGAAGTGAAACAACTTTCACAGGCTCTCAGAATACAAGATATGGAAATGAAGAGTGTAACAAGTAATTTGAATCAGGTGAATCAATTTCTGGCAAAAAATTTATATTTCTAACTTTATTTCATCAGTATTACTTTTAATATCTCTTTGATTTAGTATGTATTATTCAGGTCCTGAAGGAAAATATTGTCTTAAAATTAACTATGACATTTGTAGCTACAGTTATTTATTATTAATTATGGCATCCAAATAGTATCTTGTTTCAGTACAAAGAGCTTTTGAAAATAATGATAATCCCTACCATATACTTAGTGATAATTTATTGGTAAGAATTTTGTTCCTAGCAACATAGTTTAGTGTATTTTTCCAAGTTAACATTTAATACTGACTCAAACATTATCAAGAAGAGGCAAAAGTTATTGTCATAGTAAATAAGCTCATAGTATTCTAAGTAGGGCTCTCTAGATTGTATCTTCTTTACCACTTTTGTTTTGAAATAGAAGACTTCTTTTGTATTTACATATTTGCCCAGTAGAATTAACTGAGATTTGGTAAAGAAGTCCTGGATGTAGACTCAGAAGGCTTGGAGAAAATCCTACAACTTGTTTATATTTTTAATCTTTTCCTTGCCGAATTGTGAAAACTAAAAGTGCTTGTTACAATGTCTCAACTTGTCAAATATTCATAAATATATTTCTTAAAATTAACTATGTTTTTTTAAAAATAAAATATCTAGAGAATATTCTCAGGAAAAAGGAACTGAAAAAGCTTCCAGAAATTGTATCTGTCTAAATATATGCAGCACTAAGGCTCTTAGTATGGGATCTTGTATAAGTTAGACATCAGAGTGTAAACCCAATTTTCATATGTAGTCAAACTGATTAATCTTTCATTTTATACTTTTGAGCTTGTTGTAATTCAGGGAAAGTTTTATTTTTCCAATTCTGAGGCTCTTAAAAATTCTCTAGTCATTTCTTTTTTACTGTCATGAATTCATTGTCTCCAAATAAATGTTTGAACTTTGGGGAATTCATGCTGTATAGTATTTGAGGTTTTGATTCAATGGTTCTTCAACCAATACCTGTTTATAAAAGCCCTTTCATTACATGAAGGTACAAGTTATTCTTTAATTTCAGAGGAACTATGATATGTCATTTTATTGAGTGCTAGCTAAAAGTTTATTTTATTTTATTTAGGTTTCTCACCCTCGTGAAAATGACAATGATCTCTTTCATGAAAATTGCATGTTGAAAAAGGAAATTGCAATGCTAGAACTGGAAATAGACACACTAACACATCAACACCAGGAGAAGGAAAATAAATACTTTGAGGACATTAAGATTGTACAAGAAAAGAATGCTGACCTTCAAATGACCCTAAAACTGAAAGAGAAAACATTAACAAAAAGGGCATCTCAGTATAGTGGGCAGCTTAAAGTTCTGACAGCAGAGAACACAATGCTGACTTCTAAATTGAAGGAAAAACAAGACAAAGAAATACTGGAGACAGAAATTGAATCATACGATCCTAGACTGGCTTCTGCTTTGCAAGACTATGATCAAAGTGTGACATCAAGAAAAAAACAAGAACTTGCTTTCCACAGTGCAGGAGATACTCATTTGCAAGGAAAAATGAATGTTGATGTGCGTAATACAATATATAACAATGAGATGCTCCATCAACCACTTTGTGAAGCTCAAAGGAAATCCAAAAGCCTAAAATTTAATCTCAATTATGCAGGAGATGCTCTAAGAGAAAATACATTGGTTTCAGAACATGCACAAAGAGACTGTCGTGAAACACAGTGTCAAATGAAGAAAGTTGAACACATGTATCAAAACAAACAAGATAATGTGGACAAACACACTGAACAGCAGCAGTCTCTGGAGCAGAAATTATTTCAACTACAAAGCAAAAATCTGTGGCTTCGACAGCAATTAGTTCATGCACGTAAGAAAGCTAACCAAAGCAAGATAACAATTAATATTCATTTTCTTGAGACGAAAATGCAACATCATCTCCTAAAAGAGAAAAATGAGGAGGATTTAATTACGGTAACCATTTAAAAGAATGTACAGATCAATGTGAAAAAGAGAAAGCAGAAACAGAAGTAAGTATCAAAAAATGTAAATACTTTTCAACATTCCTGAAAGAAAATGGCCTTGGCTAAATGCTGAATCTAGTTGCATATATATATATATATGTATAAATAGATGATAAATGTACTTACTATATCAGCTTAGAAACATGCCTCATTTCCACCAAATGAAAGTGAAAGCTGAGAGACGTTTTACTTTGAGTAAAGACATTGTGTCACTGATGAACTTTTAAGAGTTTAAGTTAAAGATTTTTAACAGATTAACATTAATGACATTGGTTTATACTGCTGAAATAAAGGTTTTAATGTCTCTTTGTAGCCACAGTTTATGACCACAATGAAACAGATAAATGGGAATGCCCATATCAGCAACTAGTATTTTGAAATTAAGATTCAATTCAGCAATTTACTTTGACAGTTAATTCTAAATTTTCCAGAGGAATTGAAGTGTATTTGAAGTATATTTTGAAGTGTACATTTCTGCGTCTTGTAATAATACTTTTTAGTACCTTTTTATATATTTTAGTTGGTAGAACTTTATTTCCATTTATGTCAATTTGACTTAATCTGAACATATTTGAATCTCGAATTATGTATTGTTATAACCTCTCAATTTTTAAAAGGCATCTGCGTTTTGTTAAATAATACCTTAGGACAAATGTAGTGAATTTTAGCAATATCAAATTTGATTTAATCACCCCACTGGTATTTATAACTTATTTTGAATATTGTTACAAATAATTTGCTCATAATTTCTATTTCAAGGCTCAGAGATGTGAATAGAACTTTGTCCCAGAGAAAGATCATTGTGGCTATCTGTGATTTATTAGCTTTGCACTGGATCCCCATTTTTCAACTCATGAGAGGTGGCAGGGTTCATGTATAGTACAAAAGAAGTGAGTAGAGGAGAGAAACATAGCAGCTGAAGTCAGAAGGGATGTGGAGACCGGTTACCTAGGGCCTCTAAAGCCTTTGAAATAAAAATACTTTTACTCTGAGATAAAAATCTGTTGGAAAAATTTCAGCAGTTGATTGAATATATGAGGAACTTTGATGTTGATTTGTGCTTCTAATACAGAAGAAGGAAAGAATTCCACTGTAGAATTTACCACCGCTAGTCCCGCCCCCTTTTTTTTTTTTTTTTTTTTGGACTTCAGTAAGTTGTGAAGCATTACAGATTCATTAAGGGACAAATTACTAGTGGGATGAATCTCTTGAGTAGTACGACAGTACCAATTTGGCAGGAAGATAATACTTTCTTGTGTCCTTAAGTAAATTCACTAACAAGCAGCAATGTGTACAAATGAAGAAAATAAGGTGAATCAATATATTTGGGGTTGTTTTTGAAAGTAAATATTGTTAATTTGATAAGATGATTTACAAAATCAATAACAAATGTGTCTTGTCAGGTCCTTGTGGGACAAAAAAATTGATCTCAATAAACTGTGTGTGTGTCTGAGGCTTCACTAGAGGTTACATCACATTCTTACTCTCTGAGACGTCAATAGAGGCTACATCACGTTATCACATTAATCTCAAAGATGAGATACAGAATTTAATGAAGAAATGATTTCAAATCAAAAATCAAGTATGTATTAAATGTAATATGCCAACAATGAATCTATAGCTGGATAAATAATATAAATTGTTTTATGATACTAATTTCCATGGGAAGACTTCTTTTATATGTTCATTATAATTAGTTTTACTACAATTTTATTATCCTTATAATGTGCTTATTTTTAAAACTGTGGCTGTCATTCTGCAATGTTTTTCTTATAATTACATATTTTTTCTCACAATGTTTACCCTTAAGAAGTTTAAGAATTATACACCATTTATCCCACCAGTTGAGAGACTATTCTTCAAATAAGCAGTATTTTTCAGTGATTTATGTTGCCATGGTGAGGCCAGCCATATTTAATCAGAGAAGAATGTTTAAGGGAATATTCCAGAAAATTATCTTATTTCTTAGCTCCACTTTTGTGAATGGATGCCAATTGACATGATACTATTTTCCAAAATGCAAATGTTTAGGTTAATATACACAGTATTTGAATAGCTAGGCAATTCTTTTGTTTTTTCTTTTTAATTATATTGTATAAACATATATTTAGATCATGTATAGTATGTATATTCAAAATAGAAAATGAAATTATCATCATACTGCCATTGGATGTTTAAAAACGAACTTTATTGGGATAAAATTCACATATCATACAGTTCACACTTTTAAATTATACAACTCAATGTCTCTTAATATATTCACAAAGTTGTATAACCATCACCACAATAATTTTCAGAACATTTTCATCACCCTAAAGAGAAACTTCACATCTTAGTCATTACCACAACCCACCTCCATGTTTCTTCACCTTCCCCAGTCCTAAGCAACCATGATCTAATGTTTTTCATGAAGCTTTCTCTGACTGTTCTGACTCTCATTGACCTTGTGCTTCAGAATGTGTTTTCTAGTTGTTACAGAACAATTTAACCTTCAATTGTACATTGCTTTATTTTTTCATGAGACATAATCATGTTTTATTATGAATTTGCATAAGCAGGGAACAATATCTGACATACATGCTACCTGTTACTGTATAAATTGAAAATATTCTATCTTACCAGTCGTTACAACACAATTAAATATATTGTACTGATTATTTTTTCAGACGTTGACATAATAAAGTTTTATTTGAAATATATTTTAATCAATACAAAACAGAAACCACTCTAATAGAGAATTGTTCTAATCAATACTCATGTTTTTTCTGACTATTGAGAAAAATTATGTCTGCATTTAAAAAGTTTCAGATTTTTGAAGCTTCAGATTTTAGAATAAGGATTTTCAACCCACAGTACAGGGTCTTCTCGGTTTACAGTGGCGTTACATCTTGTTAAATGCATTATAAGTTGAGAATATTGAGAACAAGAAACATAGACAACACATAAACTTTAAAGAAAAATGATTAATAGAAAAAAAAATCAAAAAGCTATAAAACAATACTTACAGAGAATGAGCGTAGTTACCTCATCCGGAAGTTAGGTTAGAATCAGAAATGTTATGGGGACCAAATGAGAGCTTTCAAAAAATTGTCTTAGGTAGATATCAATGAACAAACCTGGCATATTGTGAACTATTGATGACAATGCTTTGAGGGCATCTTTGGAAACCAAAATATAAATATAACTACTTATTTTTTCACTTATTGTTAGCATTTAGTATTTTATGCATAAAAACTTTTTTACCAAAGAAATTTTGGCAGTTTAAATTCCACAAATGATACTGATGAGAGTATAAATCATTTTGGGTTGATTTTAAAAAGTTATGTTTTTCAATCTGTCATTATTGGAATAAAGTGTATAAACTGCATGTTATAAAATGGTTTACACACATATAACTCATGAACTCAAGAGAAATATTTTTAGGAAAGAAGAGTGTCTCTAGATTTTTAATAATAATTTTCTTTAATTTCTTTAAAAGACTGAAGATAGAAAAGAGAAATTAAACCAATGTATTGACTTCACGCAATCTCTGGAGCATAATTTGGATCAAAAAATAAAGAAAAAAATGAATTAGGAAAAGAAATAGCTGGGTAAGATTTCAATATTTTAGAACTTTAAAAATATTTATTAACTATAATTTCAATATATTTATTGCAACTGAGATACAAATTTGACCTATATCTGCATTTTCATATTTAAAGAAATTATTCTATTTTAAATTTTTTTCAGTCACAGCAAAAACTGAAACTTTTTTTGAATATCTAAATATCACACTTATTCTTTAATGATTTTGAAAACAATAATGGCAATGCCTTTGGCATATGATGTCAACTGCACTCTTCATTATCTACTTTGAATTTTTACTTCTGAAGATATTTTTGTTTGTATTTGGTAATCTTCCTCTTGGTAGTGTGCATATCTACTATCCTTTAATATCTAAAAATCTGTCTTTGTTATTTTTAAACACCATCAAAAATCATCTTGATTAACTTTTCTTTTAGTCTCTTTGATTTTTTTTAGTTTTAAAATATATTATGGATATTTACTTATTTTCTACTGGTACCTCCCATACATACGTGAGGTACATATATGTCACTAAACTTCTGTTGTTTTTGATACACACACACACATGCATATATACACATGTATTATATGTACATACATATATGTTACAATACAAAATATGTATGACCTAGAGAAGAGTAAAATGAGTAATTGTGTTTCTGCCACCCAGATTAAAAATAAAATTTTCCTCAGTGCCTTTGAAGCCCCCCAACATGGCTGCTTTTCTATTTGCTGAGAGCTTTAATTTGTTCTCTGATTCCAATTAATATTTTTCTCTCATTATCTTTTTCTGCATGGTTTTGGATCCCTTTCATTTTGTTAGCACTGTGCTAGCAAAGATCTTTAGATCTCTTCCTACAACTGTCGTTAAGGCTTCACATGATCTTTCTTCTCATTTCGTTTCTTCTAAAACTATGCCTGTTTCCTTTTCCCTCCTCAACTCAGTTTTCTTTTCTTTCTATTTTTCTACTGTGAATAGTCTTCATGATAATTTGTGTTTGTTTGTTCTTTTCTTCCTATAGACAGTGGTCAAAAGGTATCAAAAATGTATTTTTGTGTCTTATGCAAACATACATATATAAATATGCTTTTCCCCTTTGATGCTGATCTCTGAGTGAAAACTCATATTTAATAATAGGTTAGTGTTTTATATTAACATATTATGTTGATGCGAAAGTAATCACGGTTCAGAAACCATGATTACATTTTGCCCAACCAAATACTAAAATAAATATTAATAGTTTATTTATAAAATCTCCATATATGATTATAATATCAATCCTTTGTCACGTAAGTTATAAAATTTTCTTCATATTACTTACATAAAGTTAAAGTTTGTTAGAATATTCTCAAACTATGTTATGTTAAAAAGTGAGAGAGGATCATAATTTATTGATTTGTTTCTTTGTAAGTTACAACATGTTTAAGAAATTATTAAATATTAGTCTGAAACATTTTGACTTAGTCATTTTGTACATTCTTGCAGATATAAGAAGCTTCTA